AAAAGGCTAGGAAAAGTGGAAAGAATACTACTAGAAAGTAAATGGATCATATTTAATCCTATTGAATATGCTAGGCTGGTTCTCGTAAGTGGACTGAGTTCATCGGTTTATCCTGGATGCACGTGGCATGTGTTTGTGTTAACGCTGCGAGTAAAGTCTTGCCCTGGAGTCTCACATTGCCGAGGGGGTGGAAGGAGGGGATTAGGAGCCAGTTTGACTACCGCTGACCTGCCTGCTCCTTTACAAGGAAAGATCAGCTATCAGGGCTGTTGCTGCTTTGTGCCCTGCTGTTTGAGGGTGGTGTAAGGGATTCCTTTTTAAGTGCATAGGGGTTCACCAAGCAGTTGGGGGTAAAAAGGGCAAAGGAAGGCGGAGGTGAAGACTTTCAGATATCGTTGGGGTTGTACAGATAGAGACTGGTTGTCATCAGTAGAAGCCCTCATCAAAAATCACTTTCAAGCCTCTCAAGAGACTCACATCCTCCTGTGTAGCGTTGTCCCAAATCGCTACAACAAGCAAAGACCAGGTTTTTCTAATCAGACTTGAAACAGGCTACTGGCAGGCTTAGTGGTTAGCAATGACAGCCATGTCATACAACACAATTTACAGAATTGCACAATTCAGTACAGACTCCTTTAAATGTACACACTTTTTTTTTATTTCAAACCGGGGTTTTCAAACAAAACATTATATGATTGTTCCAAAAAAACGCAACCTACAAATTCACAAGGAAACCACAGCAAACAAAACAATGGGCTCTCCATGTTATTTATGAGGTAGTTATGTAATATGGTTCCTGTTCACAAAAAAAGCAGAGAAGCTGATTCAACAATAGGTTAACAGACATAGTTGTTGAAAATCTCAAACCACAGAAAGGCATAGTTCATATGGGGGAGGAGTTGAAGCCGTAGGAAATCAGGAAAAGAGGAATTAAAAAAAAAAAGAGGGGAGACAGTGAGAACGAAAGGGAGAGGGAAGGAAGGAGTGGCTTGTTCAAGACTTACTACAACAGATACACTTTTGGGATCTTTCCAAACACAAATTAGATTACGCTGCAAAACATTCACACAGACTCCAAAACATGAGAAAGGCGTGGCCCTTCTGCTGCAGAAGGAAGCAAAAGGAGATTGGTGAGTAGCTGCTTCTAGATTGGTACATACGGTTTGCGCATGCAAGTTATGTTGAGGGCGGAGCCCCATGTAACAGGATCTCGACATAAAGGGAAATCCAGGCTCGAAGCAACTCTCTAATGAGAAGTGGACCCTGATCAGAGTCAGATGGGATGCCTCGAGCACACAGCCCCCTGCAGAAAAAGCCGCCCGACACCCTTTGTTACCTCCAAGTGAGCTGAGACCAGCCCATGAACCATGTAACTAGGTGGTTTCCAGGTTAATGAAAAGCTGTAACTCTGGTCTCACCGTCTCCGATGAAGGCCTTTCCAGCATCGCGCAACCCCCCCCATCTTCACCCCCACCTTCACATATCAGGGTGAGGGGTAATTAACTGTTTACATCGTGTGAACTATGCTATGCTTGCATGTCGGCATGATGATCGTCTCGTTTTACTGACAGATTTCGCTTTCATACTTGGACTTTATACATGACAGTATTACAAAACATTGTGGTAAATTTAATCTGGAAAATCTATGCAGTGCAACTACACTCGTGGTAGTCATGCTTTCTTGCTCTTTGTGATGCCATTTGTTCACTCATGTTTTCTAACGAACCACTGAGGCCTTCAGAACAGCTGGATTTATGCTGAGGTTAAATTATACAGTAGATTTTAGTCCATGGTTTCAGAGTAAAGGGAATTCTATACAAATACATATGACACTTCTGATCTTTCTTTAGAAAAACTCAAAAACTATTTGCCATTTTCCTTTCCTGCGTTGGACTTCCAAATAAAATCCCACTTAAAATGTTTGGCCTATTAATATGACTGTAACAAAGAAAAATAAAAAAAAGTTTAAGAGAAAACTAAAATGCTTTGTTGATATTTTTAGCAGATAGCAAACGTTACAAAATCTTTTTTTTTTTTTTTAGCAAATTTTTGGGTATAAATGCAACGTTAATGTGGGCTGTGCTTATGTCAGCAGAGTTGAACCAGAGTCATTAGTCGGCTTTGTCTGGCCAACAGGCCCAAAACAAACACGGCGGCTATGTTGTCTACGTCACTTTCAAATGAATCTGATTATTCAAGCTTTGCATGATGAGCAACTGAACAGTTGATACCTGAGGAGCGACTGGTGACACAAAAGACAAAGTCACAAAGTTTTCTTAAACTGCTGATTACTCTATGAACTTGGGGGGGATGTTTTTCAGTCTGCTACATTTTGGAGAAAATAAATGTTTGAAGAAATACTGCAAAGATGCTGCTAACAACTAAATTAATTGTGTTTAAACCAGACAGATAATAATCAATATACACAGTTATCAAATGTGTCTCTGGCATGGAAATGTTACTATCTTCATTATTAGAACTTGAGAAAAAACAGATTCAACATCTAATGTTGTCTATTTTCAATTACGCATCAAAATATTTGAATCCTAAATATATAGTATTTTTTATATGGAAGTGCAGAAATGATACAAGATTGGTTGTAGTTAGTCTTGTATCGTTATTTGTCACCTTATTATTAAAATTCATAACCTAAAGTGCAGATCAATATTGACTTTTTATTTTGTAAAATTAAAAACCATATTAACCTTTGTTGCAAAATAATTAAATCAAACAAAGCTAATTAAAATGATTAGTTGTTTAGCTTATTTGAAAATGTAATCAACTGATTATTAAACGCTAGTGGCAATCATGCAGTTAAAAAAAGCACCAACAGGTTTTTCGGTATGAGAGTTGTTAGATAAAATATGGGTTTATCCACAGAGTCACTCAGTAGTTCTAAGAAATCTGTTCCTCTGTTTTAGTCAGAAATACATGTCTGAATCTCTCTCAACAAGAAAGGAGGTTGAAAATCCAACTGATTGAACATGGAGTCGCTCAGATTCAAGAAACATGGACGTGTTAGGAAAAGTGAATAACGGAGATTAACTGGTCGGAGTCAGAGTGCAGATTAGTAAAAAGGCAACACGAAATATGAAAAAACGTTTTGTTTTTGTGTCAGATCTCATGCGATTTGCAGTCGAATTAGCGCTAACGTTTCTTACATAACTGCAAAATATTTTTCTGTCAGTGTGTTTCTCATCATGAAATGAACGTGATTTCAAAATAGCTCCAAATTTGGTAGGGGTTTTCCAAAGTGGCCAATTTGTCTTTGCAGTTTTGAATATAAAACAGCAGGACTGAGCTATTCATTGTTAACTTCTGCTAATTCGCACTCTCCTCTTCCTTTCAAATGTAGGAGAGATAGATAAACCCATGCAGGAAGGCAAACAGGTACACATTTAGTCAAGATTACCTTCCTGAAAATCAAAAGGCAAAGGGGGGAAAAAAGCCTTTGATTTTTTTTTTTTTTGGTTGTGGAAAAAAAAAAAAAAGTAAATTCACTCCAGTCGCTGTTCAATTTGGACTGTTGGACATTAAAGCAGTTCCTAATAAGAGCCATGCCTGAGAGAGAAACACACACACACACACACACACACACACACACACGCATACACACGCACACACACACGAGCCAGGGAGAGAAACCCAGCCGAGGTGTGTCTGACTCTCGGCTCCAAGGTTCCTACTAATAGATTTCAGCTCCCCAAGTGTCCCAATTAGCTGGTGTGTATGCTTGCTTTATGAATTCATCTGTAGATATTAGAGTGCGAACATGAACATGTTTTCACACAACTTCCTTCTGCTCGCATTCCTTAATGTAGAAAACGTCTGGCCGATTAGGCAGAAATATTTCTTTCTGTGTTATTTGGAACCGTAGGCAGATTACTGTGTCTTCTGTATGCATATATGGAAGCAATTACATTTAAAAACTCAAAAAAAGTAAGTCAAGACCAAAAGGAATCAATTTACCCCGGCCCACTGCAAACAACAAAAGTCTTATCAGCATAAACACATGGTGACACAAACGGAAAACAAACAGATAAACATGTCCACTTTAAAGCGACTTTTATCACTTCTGAGGGAAGAGCGTTACAAAGAAAATAGAGAGCGCACTTTTAACCCTGACCTCATGTGAGGACGGACAGCCAGAGCTCAAGACTTACCTGTAATAAAGCCCGCAGTTTCCACTCGTGACCATAAATCACGGCGTGTGCCTTCAAAGTATCAAATATCGACCAATACAGCACCGCTCACCCTTGGCTTTCATCCCCACTTCTTGCTCCCCACGTTCTAGCGGTGGCACGGCCTTCAAAGTGAAAGCGTCTCAGTTTTTTAAAAGGCACGCCGGGCAATTTATTTACCAAGAAAGTGCTGCCGTAAATGACAGAAAAAGTGGTACAATTTACAGAGGAGGAGTGAGTGGGAGGAAGGGGGGGGTGAAGGCAGAGGTCTTGGCTGGTCCTGTGAAAGACTATAAAGCTTTAGTAGTAGCCCACGATCTGTTTATGACTGACTGAGACACTGTGGTGTTAGGCTCCAGAAAACTCTACAGCTCAACGCCGCTGCTGTTCTTAGGATGGTAACGGAAAAGCAGCCGATGAAAACATAGGCTGCTTTCATAGGGAACTGATTGATTTGGCAAGAACTGCAGAAAAGAAGAAACTATATATTGTGCTTTTTGGTTATATAATAAGACAAATATAAGACATAAATTTAGAGCGGCATATTTGCACATTTTGTGAGGTTTGAACAGTGAAACGGTGCATTTAATTTGCAACTAAATGTGTGAGAAAGTTACAACATTGGCACCTACTTTTGTGGGGAATGAGCCCAGATCCAAGGGGGCCTACTAATCTTAAGATTTAACACCCCGTATACTGTTGGCCGCAAAAAAAAAAAATCCCATCACCAAAATTTATGAAGCAGATTCCAGCTAAATTAGTTTTGTTCATCTCGAGAAAACAAACAGGTAGATTACAATTTTTAGAATTTATGCTCACCTCGTCTTCACAACGTCAAGTGGATGCATCAAGCAGATCTCTACCAGACCTGAAAAAGAAAAACAGACAGGACAAGCTTTCAGATTTAAAACTGTAGTTATTGAATTGAAGTGCTTCCGGGAGTTAAAGCTTTGACATAATTTAATCGCAGCAGATGTTATGGTCATTAGTCTTGTAATCTGTAATCTGAAAGATGGAAGTTCCAGTTCTGAGATGTTAAGTAATTATTTTTACAAACTCACCAGTGGCCCAATTATTGGTATCATGCTATTAAATTTTGCGCTGCCTCCTTTTGCCAAAAGAACTGAATATAAAGGTGGAGGATATTATGTAAAATCAACTTTTTTTAAAACCTTAACCTTACCCAAGGCACTAATCGGAGCTCCCACTCCACAGGACACCTTTCCCCACACAGATCCACCAGACTAGTGGCAGCAGCAATTAACATGCATCTGGTGTGCTCCTAAGAGCAGTTGTAAAGATACAGCTAAAATGCAAAATCTAATTTCTTTTAAGTTATTTATGTTAAATATTGCATTTTCATAATAACTAGAGGCACCATTTTTACTTGATTGTGCTGTAAAATGGCACTATGTGCCTGGAAAATACATCCATTAAAGGTCGAGTCAATGTGAAAATATTAGCTTTCATTGTCGCAGTTGCATGACAGAAGTACGTACCTCTGTACAACTCTTCCAGACTGACCTACAAAGGTTCGCAAATATATGACAAAACACCATAATGTATACTGCTGTAGGAGGGGTCTTACAGGAAGAGTGTGTGAAAAAATGAACAACGCTCAACCACTTGATGTATTGACTGTTCGGCTTTGACCTGGCTATATTGGCCCTTCAGTCTTCTCCATTTCGCAGAAATGAGAGGGGGATGTTTGAGTCGTTTGACACATTTTTGTTGAAAGGCCAAGGTATTTCAAAGAGTTTGTGATAACATGCCCTCTAACACGGTGAGAAGTAGTTCATGTAACCACCAAGGTTTGTGGAGTACCATCCCTGAATGCACAAACTTTGATGCAGATGGGCTACAGCAGCAGAAAACCACATCAGGCACCTCTCCTGGTAGCTATAATGAGGAGTCTTGGGCCACAGTTCACACATGAATCTTATTCAACATTGAGATGGTGCAGGCAAAATTTGCCTCAAACACGGATTCACCCTGCCAAGTATCAACCAGCATTTCATCACTATTGCTGACCATTTTCCATCCTTTCTGATGATATCGCTCTCATCTTTCAATGGCTACTTTCAGGAAGATAATGAATCATGTCACAACGCTGTTATAGACTCAAATTGGTTTCTTGAACGTGGCAGTGGGTTCACTGTGCACCATTGGCCTTTACTTCCAGTCATCAGATCTCAATCCAATACAGTAGATTGTGGTGGAACAAGAGGTTCAAATTTTGGATGTCCAGCTGGCAAATCTACAGCAACTGGAGATGCTATAATAAAGAACAAAATCTCAAAAGAATTTTTTTTAGAGTTAGTTTCTCAGTACTTTATATGCAGGGGATAATACGCTCAAGTGAACCATGGCATGAACAAAAAAACCAGACTGGGACTCACTTTTTGAGTTGGTCTCAGTCCACTTCCAAACGAACTTTGATGCTGTTCAATTCCAATGTGAATTGAACAAAACCTTCCTTGATCTGAACCAACTACAGAAAACATCAACCTCTCAAGCCACCATCGCTGAACATCATGGTAAAAATTAGTCCTTCAGTGTTGCTAAAGCTACTACTGCACGGTTACTGTGCCTCCTCAATATTTGGGCAGATGCGCACATAACCAATAACTGGTAGAAAAGACACACAAATTTTGTGTCCAACCTGTTTATCAAAAGAAAAATGGAGGGAAATCTGCAAACTGTTACCATGTCAAACATTAGAACCAACTCTAAAATAATGTAATTGACCTGAATTGGAGCTTTGCTCATGTGAATCATTTTTCCAATTTGAAAGTACAAATCAAGCAAAAAGGATTTTGCCATATTCGCATTCATGTAGTAAATTTAGTGTTTTCTTTTGCTCAGGTGCTGTCTGTGCCACAACTCGGTTGTAAACAAGTGGCCGAAAATTTCTTCAAGGGACTAAAATTTGCTACAATTTAATGACACTAATCATACCATGCATGAAAACTGGATATGTCAGCCAATCTGCCAGAAGTTGGAGAATTGATGCAGCTGGGAGATCATTTGGAGACTGAGGTTTCACACAAATCCTAACTATGTGCATCTGTGTTGAAAAAGCCACTGCTCTGGCACGGAGGCCCTCTGACTCAATCAAGCTACTTTTAACTCCTGATTCTCTCTGCATCGCTTCTCCGCTGCTCTGAGGGCTTTCCTTGTAGATTCCACAGGGGAATGTGTGTGTACACAGCTGCTGCGCAATTCGGGCTCTTTCTAATTTGCCCAATTAAACACATTGTCTATAAAAGAGTGTGTCTTCTGGGGGTTTTCTAGGGAAGTAATTATCAAGCAAAATACCACAGAAAAAAATGACTGTCTAAAGTTGCTACTTAAAGTATGAATGGGAAAACAGAGAACTAATGAACCGGGGCAGCATGGGGCAAAGAGTCGAACAAAATTCAATCACTCGTCCGGACTGTGGTTGCTAATGACAGCATGCTGAAAAGGTAAATGCAAGACCGTACTGGAACAATCACTTTCTTTTCTCACTATAAATAGCCCGGCGGAGGTGAAAAGGTGCATCAAACCTTTCAGTAGGTAATCCGATTAGATGACGAAACTAAATCTGTTGCCCTGCTCCATCGGTTTGTGCAAACACAAAGACACAGGGAGGTGACCGAACATGCTCAGGTTCATCTAATGATGGGGAAGCAGAGTTTGAATAAAAAAAAGAAAAGCAGCTTCCGCATTAGCGATAAAACGAATGAAATGCTTTCTTTAAAAATTTCTCCCTTAACAGCTTTAGTGAATCTTTAGTGAATCACATAGAAACGATAAGAACCATTCCTGACTGAGCGACAGAGTCAGTTACAAGTAACAAAAGATAGGTTCGATGTCATCAATCACACATGTTGCAACACAAACATTTAACTTTTACTCATTAATTTTTTTCTTATGAACCAGTGACCTAAAGTGGAGTGTGCTCTTCGGTGGTTGTGGCAGGATCAAGTGGTGACAAGCAGAAAACCTTTTTGCGTCTACGTAAGCGACTTTGCGACACACTTGCCGGCCAAACACTTTAAGAGCAGCTGATGGCAGATGAGATGACAGCTTGTTGAGGTTTGGAGAAATATTTGAAACGGCAGAAGGTTCAGCCTTTCTCTAACCTCTTTTGGAGCAGCTGGCACAACATTTTCAGGCCATTAACTGTAACTGTGAGATGTTTCCTCCTCTGCCCCCTTCAAAATGAAAGTAAAAAAACAATGCCACACTGTCCTGTCAAGTCATTAAAACAAACATGAAAAAAACCCCAGCTAGCCAGAAAGAGAAGTTTATTCACCGTGGGTATTTTCCTACAGCAAGTTATAGATGATGATATAGGAAGAGGAACCTTTTTATAGCCCAGCTTTTTCATGATTTATTATCAACATTGATAAACCTGCAAACCGCAATTAAAACAGACTGAGGATATGTCAGTACTTTAAACTCAGTGAACCTTTTCATATTTCATCTAACTACAGCCGCAAAATTGAAAAGCATTTTTGAATTGAATCCTATGAGGTAATAAACAAAAAGTAGCTTTTTATCGAATTCAAATCTTCAAAGAATAGCATGCATTTTACTCAAATTTCTTGGATATGTCCAAATTTAATCCAGTGCATTCAATACCAAGTCAGTTGTGTGTAATTTCATCTTCTTATAAATGTGAATGCCTCAAAGGTTTGTTAGAGAACAATGGAGAACAAACAGCAGACACGTCAGCTAGAAAGTTTTTAAGAAATGAAAGCAACATTTGGGAATTTAAAGCAATGTCCCAAGATTTTAACATCCCACTGAGCAGAAATTTGAAACACTAAATTTTGTGACTGTGACGTGATAAAATGTGAAAGACTCTGCCAAGTACGCAATTTCCACAGTGCTGCTGAGAGGCAGCTTATACCCTCCACAGTGACCTAGAGGATCACCGCCCTTCTATTCCAGCTGTCGGCACATGCTACTGTTTAATCACAGAGCTCAGTGGTAGTGAACCCACACACTTCACTCGCCTCTATGCCCTCTCTCGAATCCAGTAACTGAGAAGGCTGATGGGCCTGGCTTAAAAGACGATGCCACCAAGTCGCTCTCATTCGTTGTCTTGCAAGCACCCTAATATTTTCAGCAACGTGCCAATCTGGTTGACATTTATGGCTTTGTTTTGCATCAGCGGGCGACATATGGGGATGTTTTGTCATTTATTTTGAGAGTCTTTTGTCTCTGGACTACAAGGAAGTGCTTGTCTTCCATCGCCTCGCAGAGTCACATTCTCGAAGATGTAAACAATACCAAAGAAATGTCTGGAGAAAAGAGATTATGCATAACTTTATTTAGACAGTGCCTATACGTTTTCCAACTTTTTGCAATGTTAAAACCACAAACCTTACTGTATTCAGATTTTATGTGGAAAACCAAGGCAAAAAAAGCTCACAATCAGGACATGCAAGATACATTACACATGGTTTAAAATCTATTATAAATACAAATCTGAAAAGTGTGACCTGTGTTATCCAAATATAAAACCATATAATTGTGATAATTGAGTATTTTCAGAAACATAGTGGATTAAACCCATAAGTATAATCACTAGTGTTATTCTCATTTGTACTTCTGGCACTTAATTTATGGTACTTTAATCTGTTTTCATGTGCAGGGATTTACTGCAGGGACTCATCTATCAGACTGAATAATAAAAACAATTTGTGAACTTCTGATTCTTGGAACATTAAAGTCAACAACTTCTCTATTGAAAACAGTATTTAGTGTAATATTGAAAACACATTAGCTGACAATTAAATACATTTTTCACTGCAGGTACGGGCAGGAGGGATTTTGGTAAATGGATTCAAACTTTTCATAATGAGAGGACACATT